TATTTGAAATTGTTGTATACCTTCTTGACACATAATTTTGGTTTAAGGTACATTTATTTGTCAGACTTAAATATATATTGGCCATATGTGGGAACAAATCAGAGTAAACATAGACAAAGTGAAACATCTTTTAAAATAACTAGTTGATCGATGTCAATCTTCGTTTCACCAAAACAATACTAGAACGTATACAAGTCTTACTAACTTGCAAGTAAATTTCCATAAAAAGGGGACATCGCTGGAGTAATATCAAACATCAACACAACATTTTCAAAAACCATGAGTTTTCCAACACAATTCGATTTTAACCGAATAATGTATAATTGGTAATGTGGAAAAATGTCAATGATAAAATAACTAGTAGGAAGTTGAAAACCAAACTCCAACGATTTCAAGTAAACACTTACCTTCTTGGGCACCGATTTAATGATTGATGCATTTTAAGCATAAACCATAATCTCAACATTATCTGAAAATTCATAACCCAAGACGACATACTCAACTTGCTTTGGTGTTATGATCAAATAAAAAAATCATTGTTTTGCTCATCTGCCATTACAATTCGATTTGAAGAAAAATATAATGGATAGAGGGAGAAAGAGGGTAAATAATTGACGACAACGCTCATTAGTCCTAATGATATAAGTTTAAAACGAGACGGGAAAAGAAAGAAACAACCAAATAGAGGGTTAATGATGATTTTTGACATCATCGATTCATGGCCATCTAAACGATGCTTACTTGCATGCAAGGTTTCTAGTAAGCTATAACACACCCTTATTTGCACTCAACCTTACATAATCTTTTGAGTATCACATTAGTTTGGGTGTCAAAGCAAAATCTCATGTTCATTCTATATTATGATTGTTAGAGTATGGTTCCCACATTCACAACAATCAATAATATTACTATTAGTGATAGGGTCCTTTGTGTTACACGTAATGACAGAAAAAAGAAATCGATGACACGAGAAAATTATAGGGACCTGGTTTGTTAATTAACTAAGTCTTTAATTTATTAAATGAAATAGTGATCTAGAAGGTTCTAGATAAAGGAATTTGAAACTCAGATAATTACCAGAGATATGGATAATTATTATGTGACCAAATAATTATCCATTTAGGGTTTTAATCCTTCCATATCAATACATGGGTCCTAGGCTAGATGTGATGATGGTTTTCTTTATAGAAAAAACCCTAGTATTCAACGGAACCAACTCAATCTCGAAATCCTAAACCTAAGTCGCCTATGTGTTGTTTGTGTTTGTATAATCTGTCTCCACTTTTTAGTTCGAGATTTGGCGGCGAAGCAAAAAGAAAAATTTACAAGTCTTTTCAACATTTCTCGCTCTCTCTTTTGCATATGTTTCTCCTTATCGTGATTGTGTCAGGGTAAAGATGATGATGATAAGAAAAACAATGGTGCTGCAACAAAAGTCACAATTAAAAGTTCTTGGGTTACTCAAATACACTAAAGTCCCAATATTTACAATGATTTGACAAGAATGTCCTAAACTTTATTTTTTGACAGTAAAGTCTTAATTGACGATTTGACAAGAAAGTCCTAAATTTTTTTTTTTTTTGACAAAAAAATCCCAATCACCGGCTAACCGGAAAAAAATGGTAAAAGTGTCAAAAACTGCTAGTAATTTGGATTTTACTGTTAAAAAAATAAAGTTTAGAACTTTCTTGTTAAATTGATGAAAATATTGATACTTTAGTATATATATCCCACACAAATATCAAAGATTAAAAAAAATACTACACTAGCATAGTATTTTATCGTTTTATTTATTTGTTTAAATATTTATGTCTCCAAATATTATTTTTTCGAAAATATGATGTATTCTTAAAAACGACCAATTATATATTAGAAATTTATACATAACATTCGAGTAATATATATCTAAAATAATCAATTTATAAATTTTTTGAACAAGTTAACACTTAAAAGTTTGTAACAACCTTTTATTTAATAAACAAATATTAATAATATTAATAAAGTACTTATATAACAAAAGTCAAAAAGAAAAAATAATTCCATCAATTTTCTAAACCGTTTGTATATAATATATATGCAACAAAACATAAACAAAGTCAATGAACTAAGACCGTTGGTTAGGAGTAGTTCAGGGACTAAAGACGTAATTATTAAATATAAATAACCTTTTGCAAAGAGAATAAAAGTACAGGGGCTATTTATGCACAACATTATACAGCTTGGGGCCCAAGAGACGTCCGAAGTCGCATATATAATTGAAGCAGTGGTAAGCGGGGGCACATCAAATTCTATCCTTTTCTAGGGTTAGGGTTTCCTTCATCCCCAAAATTTCCCAGACTTTCCGAATTCCTGCCGATCAATACACCATGTCTTCATCATCTAAGGTTATTGTTTTGAAAAGTTCCGATGGAGAAACCTTCGAGGTTGAAGAAGCTGTGGCGTTGGAATCACAGACGATTAAGCATATGATTGAAGATGACTGTGCCGACACTAGTATCCCTCTTCCCAACGTCACAAGCAAGATCCTGTCAAAGGTTATTGAGTACTGTAAGAAGCATGTGGAGACACCGAAGACCGACGATAAGGCAGCTGAGGACGATCTGAAATCGTTTGATGCCGAGTTTGTTAAAGTGGATCAGGGGACTCTATTCGATCTCATTTTGGTTCGCTTATCTCTACTTTCTTTTCGCATAATCTAATTGATTTATTTTGACAAAAACGATCGAGTTTATATGCGTTAGAAATCCCGATTGATGTTTGTTCTTTTGCGATTGTGATACTTGATCGGTGTCTAAAAAAATTTCGTGTTTATTTGACGAATTCGCGGATATTATTATCGGAGTCCTCTAGTTTTGTGAATATTTTAGGTCATACTCTTTGATGCTTGTGTGGTAACATGCTTAGGTAACTAGGTTACCGATTGATGTTTTTTCTGAAGATATCTGAATATATTTGGATCATATATAGATATTTAGAGATTTGTTGTTGGTTCTTGTTATACATAACACCCTGAAAAGGATGTTAATAGTTAAAATTGAGGAAAGTGGTATTAACTAATAGTTATTTGATTTCTCTTTGTTAATATCCAAGTTCATATTAGTTTGTAATATTCTGTCACTAATTTTTTGGTCTTGTTTTGTTTCCTTCCTCTTCTTTCAAGAAATCTTCAGTTAAAGTCTTACATGATTTTGTTGCTTTTAAAGTGATATGGACTTAGTGTTTGGGTTTTCTTTGTTTGTGAATTGTTTTTTCAGGCTGCTAACTATCTGAACATAAAGAGCTTGTTGGATCTGACATGCCAAACAGTTGCAGACATGATAAAGGGAAAGACACCTGAAGAGATCCGCAAAACATTCAACATCAAGAATGATTTCACCCCTGAAGAAGAGGAAGAGGTTCGTAGAGAGAATGCATGGGCATTTGAGTAATAATTTAATAATAATGAATGGTAGTAGTAAAAGTAGTATATAACGTTGGTTGGTTGGGTTCTTTTTGCTTTTGTTTAGAAAAGATTCAGAACATCCTTAATGTGGTCTGTTTGAATTCTGCTGTTTTTCTTGTCTTATCCTTCTTTCTGCCACTTTGTTTGGAGGATATCAAACTTGGTTTCTTAATCTTTATGGTGGGATGCTTTTTCTTTCCATGTTTTTTTGTGTGGTGTTTTAATTTGTTAGTGTTGGCCAATTTCTTCACAATCTGAGAAATATCACTCTTAGCAACTAATCCATCATACAAACTCTTTCGTAGTACTTAATTTAGTTAAAATTTGACAAAAACATACATTTCACTCTAGAATGAACAAGATTTCCCCATATTAAATGTTTATAAAAGTAGTTACACTAAGTGTTCCCAGAGTCTCATAGTTGTAATAAGCATATTAAACATGGCTACATGTGTACAAAAGTTTACTTATTAAATTCATGGGTGTGAAGTTGGCTTATCAATAAGCTATCTTATCCACAAGAATTGATAAGCTAATTTATAACCTGTGATAAGCTATTTTCATGGTTTTAACTTATTTTTTGACAAACAAGACATAAAACCTACCTACACTTATGCTCATTGTCCTTTTAGCTACTTCATCTTTTCAATATCCTTCGCTTAACGATGACAATGTATAAACAAATTTTAATATCCTTCACTTGATGATGACAATGTATATAAACAAACAAGGTGCAAGTTTTAATGAATATAACATTAGAAAACACAAAATAAACGAAGGAAAAAATGATGTTTGAAGTAGTTTAATGAATTTTGAAATTCTATATAAACAACACTAGACCATGTATACTGACCTAATTCATACACACCCAAATGTGCATTTTAGTAAGAAGATTGAAGGTGTTTTTGGTAGATACATATATCATCGAAAAGTGTTTATTTCGTCTTCTGAACCAATTAAGGCAACCTACTTAATGTTTTGTCCATTTCTTCACAAAAAAATCCTCAATTATGCACAAGAAATCATGAATAGCACTTTTAGCAACTATTCTATCATTCAAACTCCTTCAAAATACTTATTTCAACTGAAGTTTGAAAAAAAGATGATGTAAACATATTTTTGTGTTCCCTCATATCTCAGAACCGTAATAAGCATATTCAGCATAACTACAAGTGTTCAAAAATTTACTTGACTAATTTATGGGTGTTACACAATACTTCATGAAAACTTCTCTTATTATATGTACCCACACTTCTCGGGTTTGTCCTTTTAACTTATAATGAATTTCAAAATTGTTATAAATATATTTTAAACCTCATTAAACAGCACTAGACCATTGTGTACCAACCTCATAATTTTGAAATTCCATTTAACAAGTTATTAAACAACATATAATGCTCATACACCAGTCTAACACCAAAAATTGTAAAAACTAATCAAAATATCAAGTTTCAAGTTTGTTTATACAAGTTTTGGAGCTTTTCCAAGTAAAAGTAGAGTTTTAGCATATATAAAAAATACAAGAGCACAAGTTTAGCAAGTTATTAAGCAATATATAACAGTTATACACAAAACTAAAACTTAAAAACTCAGGAAAAATCACATGTCACTAACTTTTAAATTCATTAAAGCTTGTTCAAACTAAATCCAAAACCAGATGAAACACACAAAACAAATTCAGAAATTTTACGTATTGTTACATATCAAAACAAGATTCAAAGCACATTTTAATCAGGCAAAGCAGTTCCTCTCTCAAGATTGTTCTTGATCTCAAGTGTATATCTGCCAAAAGCACGTTCAATCTTCTTATTAAAATGCTCATTTCTATCATTAATGGAGTCAATATCCTTCTCTTCATGAAACCTTCTTCTTCTACTAAATGTGTTCTTCTTCTCATCTCTATCCTTCAACTCCTTCACCATTCTTTCAATCTTATCCTCTGAAATTTTCGGTGCCTGTTCAAAAATCACCTCTTATCACACCATTTTACTTTTATAAAAATACCAAATTTATACCAATTTTTCAAAGAAAATAAAAACTTACCTTTCCATATTGTAGACTTGAAGCTTCACGATAGAATTCTGGATCTGCTTCTTTCATTTTATTGTATTCTTCAAGATCAACATCCATTTTTTTAGTCCGTTTCTTGTATGCATCATATAAAGTTTTCTGATTAAACACTGTTGACAGAAAGATAAAATAATAAATAATTAAATATTTGTTTGCGGGTAATAAATGAAAAAAAAAAAAAAAAAAAAAGATTTACAGTTTTATACCATCCCAGCCAGCTGGAGCAGGATCTTTCTCCCATTTTTTGTACTTTGTTTCTGCCATTTGTTGTGTATCTAACATGTATGCTTTTGACATATCTAATCCATTTGCATCAAGAAGTTTTCCAATCTTTTTCTTCCTCTCTTCAATCCACTTTTGTTTAGAAATTCCTCTCAATTCTTGTGGAGCTTCCATTCTTTTCTTTTCTGCCACCATGGCAGTTTGATTGGCTTTCCTTGCCTCATTCTACGTATAGAAAAACAACAACATAAGTATATAACCTAGGAAAAGGAATGATAAAAAGTGTACTATGTTGTTGTATTTTGATTTTTGCATACCATCTTTAGCCTTAATTCGAATAATTTCTTTTGTTTCCCTGTAAGCTTAGAGAAGTCCACTTGGGGTTGATCATCAAGGGCATTGTTGTCATCATCACTTGGATTATCATCAGGGTCACTTTGGTCATTATCAGGAACCTTAGATTGAATAGATGTTTGTTGAGCAGCTTGCAAGGTAACTGAGTTCATTCGTAGCAATTAGTCAAGAAATGTTAAGAAGAATTGAGCATTAAAAAACAGTAAAAAGAAAATATAGTCAAGAGAAAATTGATAACCTGGTTCACTTATACTAGCAAGTTTCTTGGCTTCAGCGATAACTTTGTAGCAAAATTCACTACATTCATGGTATGGGTTTGAAGAATTTCTGCAATCTGGATGTAATGCTCTTTCCCCAGTCATATTTTTGTGTATATGTTACGTCAGATGCTGAAAAAGAACATAAACCTTCAAGAAACTGTATTTTCAGTAATGGAAGGTGAATAGAGAAATTATTTTAAGTTTGTTTACAACAAAGTTCATATTTCCTTCTCTCATTGGATCATAAAGCTATATCTATGCAATTATACCAAATATAAGAACATGTATAACAATAAGTAGACATTACAATGACACTGTGCAATGCATATGAATTAAGAACTGATATTATAACCAAGAAACTAACATAATCACTTACTCAAAGTCTCTTAAACAAAAAGGAACCAGAAACCTCACTCAACTGCCAGAAACAAATCCATGTTTACGTGGATAACACAAAAAAATCCAAAAAATTATCGCAATCATAGGCAAATTGGACAACCGTCGCTTCACTATAAGCAACGAGTCAGCATAATCTTTAAGGCTTACGAATACATCGGCAGTAGTTATTCTCGAAATTTAACCAAAAAAAGCCCTAAATAATAGTTTAGTAGAAACCCTAGATTAACATACTCGCAAAGTGTTTGTGCAAGACTCTAATTTGATATATAGATTTTGGCATAACGTAAACATATACCAAAATTTACATGCATTTATGTTATGAAATTTGGGAATCTAATGAAAATTACCTGCGAAGATCGATCCGATGAAGATGGAGAAACGCAAACCCTCGACGGGAGATATTTGTAGTTGTTTAAAGTATCGAATCGAAGGGATTTATGTGATTGGTTCTTACGCGGACTCAGGGAAACTGATTCCAGTTAATGGAGGAATCATATTCAGGAATCAGGATTTATTTAGATATCTTCGGACCGGTATTGATAATTCCGGTTCAAGTTAGGGTTCATAAATTTCCATCAAATCGTATTTTATTTTTATTGCATTTGCAACAAAAACCTTAAGTTGAGTTTTTCCTTTTTTTTTTTTTTACTTTTTTATTTTATTTTACTAGTTTTATCTAATTAATTTATTCAACTTTCTAGTATCTATCTTTTCCACCCATTTTAAATTTCCTTAAAGTAAATATTTAAGTTTGCAAAAAAAAAAAAAAAAAAAAAAAAAGTTTTACCCAAACTAAATTCTTTTTAGTTTACTTCATGATTTTTAGGCAAAGTATTAATTTTATTCACTTTATATTTTTTTATCAGGTTTATGTTGATTGGATGTCTTTTGTTGATGTGAAATATAATGATAACATTTTATTAAAAAAAATACAAAGAATGGTGAAAAAGAGATATGAACTCAAAACCTCTTTGAACGAAAAATACATGCACCTGCGCTAGTGAACCAAACAATTTTCATTTATTCATTTATTTTTGTAGTTAACGCTATCTTAATTTCACTCTAGCACTTGGCAGAAATAACAGTCTACTTATGATTTCGTTCATTTAAACGCCCAATTATAGGAAAAAATAAATAATGACCACATACTTTATGATATTTTAATGGACATACCAACTTACTTGTTATTTGCTATCTACAATAAACAAAAATAAATATAGGTTATCACTATTGTGTTAGTTTGTCTAAATCGGTTGTTTAATACATTTTTGGAAGATTTAATTGACATAGCTTTCATCCTTAAACATCTCAAAACGGGTATAAAAGTTTATATACTTTTAATTTGTTAATCTTCGAAGTGTTAAATATAAATAGATAGATTGATTTATTCCAAGCAAGTATCTATACAGTTAAAACAAAATTTACTGATAAACATAAGAAATATTTGTATATGTATTATATTTGATAAAGGAGACCAACATCAATGAGACAATATTTTTTATATCATCAAAAAACAAAACAACCACGTCATCAAAAAACAATAAAAAGATTATCCACTCTCAGTATTTATACATGAATACATGTCTCCATATAAAAAAAACGATCATCTTTCACAAATTTATCGTCACCAAAAAAAAAAAAAAAAGACAAACCTTAGCAAACAACAAACAACTTTCTTGCATGGTCTTTGACATGCATTGAACTCATTGAGACAAACATTACAATCTTTTGTCCCATCCAAAAAGACAAATATACCATATTCAGTGAGTTATGCAAAAGACGTAAATACCCTTTTCCTCACACTCAGAAATAACAATATTACTTAGCATGGAAGTACATGATATTTAACGCAGTATTTTCAACATCCTCTTTTCCAATTCTACCCTCAAACCAATCCTCAATAATCGGGCTTCCACTCAACATACCATTTGGCCATCTATCAACCAACCGAAAACCAAAACAAGAAGCAGCCGAAAGTATACACCCTTCATCAACTCTCCGAAAAACATGACACAAAATGAGCACTCCATCAATTGAAATCAACTCTTTTGCAGTTTTAAACAACGGCATAATTGCTTCCACAACATAAGTCACATCCGTACCAATAACAACATCAAAACCCTTTTCGCCACTCACTTTTTTCACGGATTCTATATGCTCTTCATTACCCCATTCTAGTTTCTTGATTTTTACCTTTGAAATTAAAGATTGTTCAAGATTCGAAGTGATGTTTTCTTGTAGAAGCTCGAGGGTTTTGTTGTCCCCGTCTGTGGGGACAACAAGGCGGGCGGTTCTGGCAGCGATCATGGAACAGATCCCGCCAGAACCAGACCCGACTTCTAATATTGTTTTCCCGGAAACAATATTTTGGTTCGAGGCAAGAATGGAAGCCATGAGTTGCGCGGATTCCCATAACATTAAGCCAGTTGATTTGCACGTGTGTTGGAATTCTTTTGAAAGTAGTTTGATTTTAAAGTTCCAATCTCGTAACTTGTACTCTGTAATCTATTACAAAAATAAATAAATTAACAACATACTTTCATTTATTTAGGTTGAAACTTGAAACATGTTTGCTTTGTATTTGGATCACATTGCTATAATTGGGTGGATTTTTTAAACCCTAACCTCATTCTTTGGTGAAGAAATCCCAAACATTTCAAAAGCAAATCCTTCAGAAATATCGATATCAAATCCCTCTTTTGCCTCCTTTGAAATTTTAGGGATTTTGTCATCTAAACGAAAGGCGGCTTGGACCCAACGCCTAACAATAATAAATGATTTTTTCTTCGTTTATATATGAATAAAAAATCAAATTAAATAAAACTATTAATTTTTTTTTTAATATTATTATATTACTTACCGATTCATTACTATTTCACGTGAACGATTTTCTACTTGCTTGCAACACAAACCACATTCTTCAATGTGGAACCCGTTTTCTTGAAACAAATTTTTCAAGAATTCCTCAGAAAAATAGAATGCACGCTGAAAGATTAGGTGCAATAAAAAAAAAGTTATAAGAACAATAAAATTAAGTACAAGACTAAAACTCAAAAGGGTAAAATAGTAAAAAGCACTTGTACTTACCATTTTCACCGATTTAGTAGGTTAACTATTATATTATGTAACGATTAAACATTATGCATGTTTTGACCATTTAAAGAGCAATCACAAAGGGTAAAATAGTAAAAAGCACTTGTGTATTTTTTTTTTTAATTATTATTTTTGGATTTTGCACTTACAGTTCCATCACCTCTGACAAAAAAATTCTCACTGATTTTCTGATCCTTAGAAATAAGCCTTTCCTGCCAATAAAACAGCATGATCATAAAATAAATTTAGGGTTAACTGCAAGAAATAACTACCTACTTTGCTCTAATAGTCAATTACTATATTATCCTTTTTTTATAAATATTATCAAAATTAAAAATTAAATCAAGAAGTCTGAAAGACTGAAAGGATTAAAAAAAAAAAAAAAAACAATGCTAACCTGAGCAAGATCTCCTGTAGCATAATCGCGAAATAAGACATAAGCATTTGGCTGGATATAAAGAAATATTTAAAATTTTAGGTCAGTTGACTTTATTATAAATTTTTAATAGAGGCAAAAAATTTCAACCACTATAACAAAAATGATTCTTTTAAGCAGTAAAAAGTATATGATGGTTTAATCACTACATAGAGTAACTATGTGGACTTATAAATAAATAAATAAAAAACTTCAAATTTATATAATTACCTTCATAATCTTTTTGATGTTTTTCAAAACCAGAGGCATCTTCTCAGGTGATACTGCAGATAAGACAAATATCTGCTTAAGAAGTCAGTGAATCACTTTAATAATATTAATGACCCCACAAACATGTACAAATTACAAAAAACCCATTTTTACCAGTTACCCAGTTTTATTAAAGACCAAAATATTCTTAAAACACACACACACACACACACAAGGTGCTTTCACCATTTTGACAAGTTAGCCATTGGATTACTTTTTTATGACTATGTTCAGTGGCTAAATCGATAAAATGGTGAAAGTATGTGATCAAAATCGGGTAATCTTGATAATTCTTTTTTCTTTTTCTATTATATTTAAGTGGCTAAATCTCTATTTAACCAAAAGACATAAATCATAATCCCTTAAAAACATCAAGAAACTGCTTATGTACTTATTATAAACTTTACATGATAAAATCTTGTAATACCATTGTTACAATATCAACAGAAGATGGAGGTATATGTTTGACCAAGTCTTCACTAGTCAAATCACATGCAAATGCATTTATCTTTTCTTTTTTAAAGTCTTTATGTGCCTGTAGCAATTAAGAACAAACCAATTAACACTAGAAATGACCAAATGTCATTAGTAATCATGTGTGTGTGTGTGTATATATATATATATATATATGTATGTATAATATGAAAGTTTTACCTTAACTAACTCAACTGCACGAGGTGAAAAGTCACAAGCATGAATGAATATATCAGGGTAGGTAGCATTTAAAGGAAAAATAGTGTTTCCAGCACCACATCCAACCTAAAAATTGAAAAAAAAAAAAAAAAATTAAAAAATGAGTTGGGATTGTAAATACTTAAACCATTTTGTAAAAGCAGCATACTTTTGTAGAGAAAATATAGGAATAAAATTATTTACCTCCAGAATAACCTTTTCCTCTGCTTCCTGAAACAGCAAGAGATGTTTCAGATTAATGAAACTGAGATGCTTACATTTTCTTGAAAAGTTAAAAATCTAAATTTATTATAAGTGGTAAGTAAATACTTTGTACACTCACAGAGAAATATTGCCCCCATTCTTTATCCAAGTAATGTCTATCCTTGAAAAACTGATGAAAAAAAAAAGGTTACAATATTAACTTCTAGAAGAATCTAACAGCAACCATTGAAGGTATTTGAAAGTTTGTATTCAAGGGTAAAAAGGGAAAGAAAAAGTAACCCGATCTTGATGACGTTTGTAGAAGACATCCCAATATTTCTTAGCATCCCTTTCATATTTTTCTGTGAAATACAGTTTGAAATTTAGATTGTTGTTTCTTTCTGACTTAATAACTTTTTACAAGTTTGCCCTTGGTTATATTTTTCCTTCCATTTGTCCACATGTGATGTATTTTCTCAAATAATAAGTAAATATAGTTTATCCAGAAAAATACCTTTCCAAAAAGTGGTGACTTCATTATTTGGTGTAGAATATATTTGTATCTTTGGCTTTTGCCCAATACTCTCTGATGCATTAGATGCCATTTACAAATCACTGTTATCAAAAAGATATTCAGAATTAGGAGAACCAAAGTATGCATGCAATATGGGATTAGCTTGAAGTTGAACTATGAAACTATTTATATTTTCTTCTGTTTACTTGCTATGTTTTTTAATAAAGAAAATTATCTGTTCAATATATTGTAACTTTAGTTTCTTCATATATACAAAACATAGTTGTAATTTATCAAATTCCCTATCAAAATCATATGTGGAGGGAGCGAGACTTAACAAGAAAATTTAGGAAGAAGATATCCATCAAAAGGGGCTGTGAAGCGAAATATCACTATTCTATGTCATGTTTACTAGAAAACGAGTTCATCACAGCATCCCATTAACAAATCGATGAAGCAACGGATATAGTAACAACCAGAGTCGATCAATTGGGGGATAAATCAATAAGGAAAACATCCTCTAAGTGGCTGGAAATTTCAGAAATTTGTGTGTGCTATGAAACGGAAACATCATACGAATGAGCTTAAATTATAATGAATAACAAAAATCAATCATACGCAATTTGGGGTTTCAGAAAACTTACGTTGTTGTATTGCTCGAACTAGACCTGGATGTTGTGATTGATTCGAGGGTTTTAGGAAGGCTTAGGTTTTTTAATACCCCATTTTAACTTGTTTTCTTTTTACACGTTGCACCCCTGTATTTCATGAGCATCGCAGACATTTTAAATTTACTTTGTTAACTTGCTTTTAATACCATTTGGCCATTAGCCATTTTAACTTTTTTTTTTTTTTTTTTTTTTTTTTTTTTTGGTAAATATCTTTTTAAAATAAACTATTTTGTTAAAAAAAATCTGGATTTGAGATAGGAAAAAAACATATTATTGTTTCATAAAATTTTATTGCTTAAAATATTAAATATAAAATTTTAAATTTACTAAAGACTAAAAGTATTATAAATGGAGACCAATAATATAAAAAAATACATTATTTGATGAGTTAAAACTTATAATGTTGTTAATAGACTTTCAGGTTTTGATCTGTATTTCAAGTTATGGCTTTCAATTTATTTGGTTTTTTAATTTTTCTTTTTGGTATCAATTTTTTTTTCCTGCAAGTATTATGATGTATTGGGTTCTGGTGGTGGTGAAAAATTCGATGAAGAGATAGTGGGCTGTAGTGTTTGTTCGTCGGAGTTGAAGGATAAAAAATGGATGGTGAAGACGTCGATGTCATTAAAGATGGAAAGAAAATATAAGTTGAAGATGATGAAAGATGGGATGGTGCTTGCTAGGACCCAAATTAAATTTCTCAAATGTAGTTTCAAGTTTAAAATGATGAGATACAAATATGTGTGACCTATTATTTTTTTTTTTTTGTATAAAAAATAAATACATAAATAAGAAAATCAATTAAAAAATAAATTAATAAGGGCACAATAGTCTTTTTAGGTAAGAGGGGACCAAATGTGCAACAAAAATAAACAATACGGACCATCCCAATTAAAAAAAAATAAGTTAGGAACCAAACATGCAAATCAACATAAACCAACAGGGACCATTCGTTAATTTACTCTTACCTTTTTGGTTTTCAAATCAGGGTAACTATCTTTTTTTTTTGTACACATTTAGATAATGAACTTTTTAGAAGTGTTCACATATGACCATTATGGCTGCTTGTAGTATGTTACTGGTGGTCATAATGGTCATATGCGAACACTTCCAAAAAGTTCATTACTTTGAGGTATACAAAAAAAGATAGTTACCCAGATGTGAACAAACCGAAAAGTTAATTACCTTAATAAGTCAATTTCCCTTCTTCCTAACGTTAAACGGACCCTTAGCATATTGTCAGTTCAGATTTTGTTAAGCCACATAAGCATTTGTTTAAAAATCTTAACATCTTAGTGAAAGTTGTTGAGTGATGGTGAAACCATTTAGATATAATTGATTTTTGAAAAAAAACAAAAAGGGGAAATAAATTAAGGCCAGCTAATCATAGCCCACATTTCTTCCTTCTCTCTCCTCTCACTTCTAGTTAACGGGGTAACGAGGCTTGCTTAGCGTCTTCCTTAGCGCATGCTCGGTGATGCATCGAAATACTACACCTACTAGTTTTACCAACTATCTAACTAATTATTCGACTAAAGGCAGTGGACCTTTTCGCAAATAGTATAGCACAAACAGTCGGATATCGAACTCAGGGAACAAATTTAACTAATTAACCTAATCACTAAAAATTAACCTAAAAGAAGCAAAAGTTAAGAGGGGTTTTTATCTGATTTTAAAAGTTCAGACAAACTTTAACAATTAACTGATAATTTTAATCAATATTCTAAAAACACTTCCGTTTAGTTCGAATCCACTTTTCCTCTATGGTTAGCTACTAATTATGGATTATTAAAATTGGTCACCAATTATTATTCAATTAGTAATTCAAGTCCAATTTACTAATCTTTTTACCAATTCATGAACTACCTTATATGGTTATACATAAACAAAACACATAATTAGTTATTAATTATAGATTGACTATGTAAGATTTATCTAAGAAAACACAATTATAGTCATAATTTATGTTCTCTAGCACAACTAAATTAGTTACTTTTATCACTTATCTAAGATTTGGTCGATCCTAGCTCTAGCAATTTAATAGTCACTAAACTACTAGGTAACAAGTTTATGTAATTCAATGGTCACTAAGCTACACAGAACCTGAATTAAAGCAACAAAGTCACAAACTTCAACATGCTAGGTAATGATAATCAAACACATGCACAAAACCAGCTTATAAAATCCATAAATTAATAAATTAAGCCATAGATTCAAGGTTTCATCTAGTTAAACGAAAGTCTACTAATTTAACTATTCATATATGAAAGTAAACACATAAGTTCATAATAAATTGACATGATTAAATTAATGCAGACCGAATGTAGCATTTTAATCTTCAAATTCTCGATCTTCAAACAATCCCTCCTTTTCAAAAGGTGTTTTTCGCACTTTTCTGACCTCTAAACTCGATTATAACTCTAGGAAATCAGATCCAACCTACTCAAAGTTGATATACTAAGAGATATTTATAGTCTCTAAAAACTGTGTCTCACGTTGTGAGAATTAGTATCTCACATCGTGAGATCAGTGGAATTTGTGTTCGGCAAGGAAACTGCATCCCGCGTAGCTATCTTCTAGAAGAATCAATCTCACGTCGTGAGATTATACTCCTCATGTCGTGAAAATTGGGAATTAGCATTTGGCACAAAAATGAAAGGCGTCCGAAATTTTGTCTAGTTTTCAGATCATTTTGAATCTCGTCAATCAGAGTTACGAGTCATAAGATATGGTCAAAATACTGATGAGGGGTTAAGCTGTCTAGCAACATCCTTTTTGTATCTTTTTCAGCTCCAGTCCTCCAAGTATCCAGCTTTTGTCGATTTCAATCATTTTCTTCGAGAATGTCCACTTTTGGCTGCAAAATATAATTAAACATTATAAGTACCAAATATCTTTGCAATTAACTAAATTGTAGCTTAAAAGGTATTAAATTATCACCTAGAAATGTGCACAATCACTAGGGAGTCATGTTTGACGAGCTTAACACTCCTTAGTGAGTGAGCTTAGCGTATCCACTCCTCATAGCTTAATGAATACGACTATATATGGATTCCCTGCTTTCCAATTTGACTTCCTCAATATATGAGGATAAGGAGAAGGGGGGGAATCTCACGACCAACCTGTTATGTTTTGGGAAACATTTGAATACGTTTCAGTAATACATACCATGTCCTCTTTCACAACAAATTAGGTCATTAGGTAATTGTCATAATGAATGTGAATGTATACATTAATCATGATTTCAAGTAATAAATTAGTGAAATCTAATTAGTTTGTCATAACATAACCTAAAATAGTCATACAACAATTTGAAGTGGACCAAACTAATAAATGTGAATGTCAAAAAAGCAATCCTCATACTTAAATCATAAATCCGACGATTTTCTCCTTCCATTTTATATTATACTTTCAAGCTATCTCATCCTTATATTTTTTTATTCAAGATCCGAGGAAAATGACACAACAAAAATACTGATAATTTTATTATTTGTGCAACCAAAATATTTATAGGTTAACGATATCAAATGTAGTTGAAGGATGTTTCCCGACAATAGGTTGTGAGTTTGAATCTTGTTGTAGACAAAATGTTTGTTGGCTGTTAAAAAATCGTTGACTTTATTTCTTTATGCATATAAAAGTTGTTTTTTTATTTGCTCAAATACGATCGGGAAGAAAGAGAACATGTTTCGTTTTTTAAAAGTTTTGCATTGAGGAATCACATTGTTGCAAACTTCAGGTTTATAGAATCTTATTCAAATGTAGTTTATATGTATTTATATTGTTGTATTTTTTATACATTTGCTTAAATGTATTGTGCAGTGGCGGACACAGAACGCTTCAGAAGTGGTGGCACCCAAATTTTTTTCGAACAAATGTAAAATAGTAGTGGTACTCATATTCGAAGAGGTTGCGCCTAATAAAAAAAATAAACTGACGGACCAAATCAGAGTGGTGGCCTGAAACCTCCGGGACTCCACATACATCTGCTCTTGACATACATCTGCTCTTGGTATTGTGTATGCATGTATCTTTTTGTAAACTAGAACCATATTTAAATATTCATATTATCAAAGTTTTGCATTCATAGTTATATCTTTGCTTTTGTTTAAAATAAATATTAACTTCTTGAAACAACTAATACCAACGCGTTACACATAGTAAATATGTGATTAAAGAGTAAATTACACGAATGGTCCTTATGGTTTTAGGTAATTTGTACGTTTGATCCCTAATTTATTTTTTTAACTCGGAAGGTCCCTACTGTTTGTTTTTGTTACGCGTTTGGTCCCTACTATTTGTTTTTGTTACACGTTTGGTCCCTATCTTACCCAAAACGACTATTATTTAAATAGGAAAAAATGATAGGGCGGGTAAGGTAAGGTGAGAGGGATGGGGTTGGGGTCTGTTTATTTAAATAGATTAAAAAAATCAATGATAAAATAGTCTTTTTATGTATGACAGGGACCAAGCGCGTAACAAAAACAAACAATAAGGATCTTCCGAGTTAAAAATATAGATTAGAGACCAAATGCGCAAATTACCCTAAACCATAGGGACCATTCGTGTAATTTACTCGTGATTAAATTTTTGACAAATACATGTTAAAAATAAGCCTGTTATTAAGATTATTTATAAAAGTATTATTATTATACTAAGTTAGATATATAAAATTACTATTTTTTTCTTAACTATATTATAACATAACATCGGTATCATGTCATTCAATTGCATTGCATGTATATGTGACGTGACTTGTGTATGAATAAAACCAAATACGGTTTGTGATTTAGTATTGCTTTTAACGATTAATTATTTTAAAAATTACTTATATTTCTAAATTTGATAATGATTATTATTTAAAATATCAACCATTGTATTTAAGTATTGCTATTGTTATTTAAAAAAAAAAAAAAACATATATGAGAATTTTCTAATTATTATCAAAAATAATTTTAACATATTTTTTAGTTAATTTGGTATGTCATTTAGATTTTAGTAGGACTGTCAAATTCGTACCAAACCAAACCAACCAACCAACCAAAACCAATAAAATTGGTACCAACATGTTTGTTAGTCAACATCTTTGGTTGGTAGTAGCAT